TTTTTTTTTGTTTTACTGCAATGTAAAGTTCTGCATCTCTGAAAAGAATCATGTCTATTGTTGGGTATGACAAAGAAGAACAGAAGGAATTTATTATGACAACACCGCTGTGGGGACGGCTGCTGAGACGTATCTAATTAAAGTGCCTGCACTCACAGGCGAAGACAATTTTTAAGACTGAGTAAAAAGTGAAGAAACACCTTTATGTTTTACAAACGTCATTTGAACATATATATGCTAGAAACACACACAACCCTACAGTACCGTGAGTGGTGGGTGCTCGTTATAAATAATGTGTTCTAATGTTATCTTGCTATACACTGTTTTATATTTTATTAAGACTCTGAACCTAAAGCAGGTTCGGGTTTTCTCCTGTCACATTTTAACAAATTGTAGGCTCATTTTTCACTGCAGTATAAAGTCCTTCACCTCCATGGAAACAGCATTACCATGACTAGAAGCAGAGGGAACTCCAAAAAGGTGTTTTGTACAGTAAAACAACATTATATTGCGATAACTCACAAATCTGTTTGTCTACAAGTGTAGACACAGCCTGCAGTTCAGCCAAGTTCAGGTGAAAAGTCTGGTTACAGTCAGTCATAGCTCCTCGGTTGTGCTGAGGATTGCATATTTTTTGTTTTTTTACACCATCTGGACACTTCGAAAATTAATCTTTACATGAGACACAGAGAACAGATAAATTTGGTGAAATATCACAATTTAAGCTGATCTTTGGTACATTTTTTCAGTGAAATTGTAAGTCACACATGATGACTTTGAAAGCTGTTCAATGGATGAAAATCCAGAAAACGCTCCAACTATCAGGCTTGAATGAATGGTGTAAATTTGGCAATTAAAAATTAACAAAAACATGCCTTTCAAAGACGCCCATGTGTTTTGTGTTTCCGAGGATTAAACTGAGAAAAACCAGGAATCCGTGTTAGGAAATTAGATTTTTGCCTCCACTTTAGGTAGTTTTCTAACTAGCTATGATACAGTTGTCGTATTCGGTTTTGTCTGATGTAAAATGTATGAACTGGCACAAGGGGGGGGCACATCCAGATAATTGTATGGACCGTCCTGACAATGGGTAATCAGATGAAGCGGGCTGCCTGGTCGGGGACTCCCAGCTGTCTGCTGCTGCTGAAGCCATCTGGATGAGACAGAGACACAGCTAGTCTGGCAGCAGGCTGAAATATTATACAAGCGATAACACAGGCACACACACACACACACTCGCCTCACGCTGCCTCATCACGCACATTATCATGGTGAAGCCAGCGCAGAAAACCCTCACTGATTGCTCCTTTTATTTTCAGTTTCAAAAAAATTTTTTAAATCACATTTGCATTTTGGTCTTTAGCACCTGCTCTTATCTCCGCTTGTTTGTGCGAGTTTATTTAAGACTTTGATGCTGCTCCCAAAAACTGCAAGACAAATTTACCGTGGAGAAAAAAAAATGTGGGAAACGACTTCAGGTTGTGGAATTACATCACTAGATATTAAATCACTCGAGGAAGAATTAGATGTGTGTGGGAACATGTGCGGCGCCTGTGAATATTCATGCATACATCTGAGTCTAAACGTGTGTCCTGTGCGTGAACATTTATTCAAATTGATGCTGTGTGAGAGTAGTTTAGATGAACAAAGAAACAGATAAGTTGATTCATCTGTCATGTCGCTGGTCTGCTGCCAACCTGCACTCTCTAACTCTAACTGTGACTGAATATACATGTAAAGGCACGTAAGAATATTTATGACCTCTAATGTTGGGAAATATATTCCTCTTTCTCTCTTTCTCAATCCCTTTCTCTCCTCCAGACAAATCACACCCTTTTAACCCAAGGCATCCTTTTCATTTCCTGCCCTCACCATCCCGTCACTTTCATTCCCCTCAATCTCCTTCTTTTTTTTTTTTTCTCTTCATCTCTGGCTTTTTGTTTTTCTCTCCTCTTAGTCATTCTATTTCTGTCATCACATGCTTAGTCAGCTCTCACGTTCTCCTCCTCTCCCTCCTACCTCTCCCTGTCTTTGCCATCATGTTCGTGTTAGAAATTGAATTAAGTTACCTCCCAGTAATTTCAGGATACGCGAGTTCAGGCGCACACGCGTGCACGCCGGCTCACGCCCCTGCTGAGGAATGCTCATCTCTTCTCCACCCTCCGTCCTTCCTCCCTCACTCTTTCCTCCAACACTTCCTCACTTATTCACCTCCTCCTTCGTGCTCAGCCCACTGGCTTCGCTTAACTATTTATCTCTTCCTCTTTTTCCATCTGCGCTCATCCGTGTGTCACTGTAGATTAAAAAGCACACATTTTATCCTGCGTTTCCACTAAATAGTATATAGTAATGTACAGCGTTGTCATACTTACTTGTTGATTGTGTTGCTGTCTGATGTATATTTTCATAAACATATACATGAACATAATATTCATTTAAGTTGTGCATTGCTATCAAGTCTCAGGGAACTGGGTGTTTTGTTTTACTGTTTTCTTATATTTAATAGACTAATAATTAGAAAAGAAATGATAACACAAGTAATCATTTCAAGGCGCAATGAAGTGTGCTCATAAAAAGTGAAAACTGTACCTCATATAAATTTGGCCTCTTAAAAACACCCTTTTTGTGTAGAAAATCTTTTCCGTTTTGTTTGATGATTACGGTGTTGTGCACCATGAGTTCATCCCCCAGACTGCCTCTGCTGAGTTCTGCTGTAACATCGTACATCTGAGGGGAACATTTGGTGCAAATGACCTGAATTGCGGCGTGAACAAATGCCTGCTCACAGTGTTTTGAAAACACACAAACTTTTTGCCACTGTCGCTCCCCACCGCCCTACTCACCAAATCCTTGCGATCTTGTTTGTAATATTTAAGTTGAGGGGTCACCTTGACAATGTGGAGTAGATCCAGGAGGTGTTCAAAACAAGGCAGGAGCACTGGGAGTGGTGTGTTGCTGCACAAGACGACTACTTTGAAGGGGATTCTGCCAAATTGACATCAGGAATGTTTTTTGCCTTTTATGGTGGAACTTCTTGATTGCACTTTGTACTTACTTGTTAACTCTGTTGTTCGTTTCACCAAGGATGAGTGATTCATTGACACGTGTTTGGTTTGATACTTTATTTATGTGGCGATTTCTTACTTGGGCTACAAGGTGGCTTGGTAGCACCGTTGCCTTACAGCTGGAATATCCTAACTGGGGATATTCTGGGATCTTCCTGTGTGGAGTTTACTTTCTCTCCGGGTTCATCTTCCTCCCACAGTCCAAAAACATGTTGAGGTTAGTTGGTAATTCTAAAGGTGTGAATGTGAGTGTGCTTGGTTGTCTGTCTCTAAGTGTAGCCCTGTGATAGACTGGTGACCTGCACAGGGTGTCCCCTGTCTTCACCCTGAGTCAGCTGGAATAGACTCCAGCCCTAGTGAGGATTAAGCGGTGTATAGATAATGGATGGGTGGATGGATTTCTTACTTTACCATGCTATCCAAATAGTATTGCTAAAGCAGCATTAACTATCTTTTTGGCCGCTTTGGACGGCATAATAAGCTACATTGCAACATTGAAATATTGCCACTGTTTGAATTGTTATTGCAAATGTGTTAAGAAGCAGTTGCCGATTTACACATCCGGCAGACGCTGCATCATTAGCAGGAACTACGTGTCTGGCTCCCTGACAATTTTAGGTGAGACCAAACCAAAAAAATGTGAAACTGTGGGCTGCTAAAACACCAATATTGAGCTAGAAACACATCACAGAGATAAGAGAAGTGGAAAGTTGTCTGATTGTTCTTTGTGAGTTTGATTCTACGAGGTCGCTGCTTTCTGTCAAAAATGGAAAAAAGTAATTTGGGCAAATATCGTTAATCTGCAGCTTCTTAGATTAGTTGGGGGCTGGTTTGTGTTTCATCTCTGCTGTGCTATAAACTATTATTCTGTCCCGTTGTACTGCTATTTGCTTTCTATTGTTTCACTTGATTTTCTTTTCCTTTCCTTGACGTCCACTAATTTTTTCGTACCACATCTTCAGCTCATTGTCGTCACACTGTCCATCTCTTTGTTGCTGGTCTCTGTTTTACTCTGTCTCAACATTTCACTCCCACTGTCGGGCTCCTTTTCTTCCGCCGCCTCCCCCTCTCCCTGCCGGCCCTCTCCTCACTCTCCATCTGGGCCTGTGGAGCAGGTTTACCACAGAACTCATTTCAATAGAACAGACGCACACTAGACTAACAAATCTATTGATCTGTGTACGGATGTCCACTCTATTCGGTGTCGTCTGCCTCATTTGTCACTTTTAGTGCGCCGCCTCGCTTTAGTCGCTGTCATTTGCGCGAGCGTGTGTGTGAATGTGCTCGCCCGATTCGTTCCACCTCTTTGATCACAGCAGGTAAGTTCAATGTTTCGTGCAGAACGAAGGAGAAGCGCAGAAAAAAGGGAAAAGATGAAGGAATGTTAGGAATGCCAAAGGGAAGCTTCACTTTCAACATACAAAACACTTCACGTCTTTTTTTTCCCTGTATGACCCCCTTTGCGCTCTGAACCATTTCTATTTAATAAATATACATCCTCTTTTGGAAGACAAGGAGCTGTTAGATTTCATGATTGTATCCATGACATCTAGAGTTTAACTCTCTGAACCAAATGTAATTTCTGGTGTTTTGTTTTCTGTCACATTTTTCCTCAATGTGGGTTCATTTGTCACTGCAGTGTGAAGTCCTGCACCTCTATGGGAACAACACAACCAAGGTAGCACAGTTAGAATGCCATACATAGTAAAAAAGCAAAAACTAAAGTTGAATTTCTTTGATTATTTATTTTATAAATGTTGAAAGAACCTGGAATTAGAATGTACAATACTTGTCCAAGTGCTCACAGATGTTAACAGATGTGATAATGGGGGCTCGACATACACTGGGGCGGTTAGTAAGTCCCC